TCCACCAAACAAGAAAACAACTCCACTTTTGGATTATTTTTAAATTTGAATTTTATTTTTTCTTTAATATGGTTAATTAATATAAGATTCAATGAAATAATATAAGTTAATACCCTAAATATAAGACTAAATGAGATGGAATGGAATGGGGAGAAATGTATTATTAATATAAGTTCAAATTACATTTTGTGTCCTCACAATTAGAGAAAGCAAAAAATTCAAAAATAGGGCATTCTAGTCAAGAATAAGATTAATAAATGTTAATAGGAGTTAATATCTTAAATATAAGACTTAACGAGAGATATTTGAATGAGGAGAAAACTGGTTGATCAAATTACATTTCTATCCTTACAATTAGAGAGGGCTCAAATTATAAAATTAGAGCATTTTAGTCAAATAAAAGTTTCACATTTTTAATAATAATATAGATATAGATGAGATCTTATATTTTTTTATTCATAAATGTTGTTCATTTGGTTTATTGTCTCAATTAAAGCTCTTTTTTTATTAAAATACAATTTTGCCCTATGATAGCTCAAGATCAAGGAATAAATTCCTTTGAACAAAAATTCCTGAAAATAAGACCCATTCATAGTTTTGTAAGTAGTATAGATATAGATTTAAAGGTTAACTTTGAATTAAAGCAGTTGCAAAAACTAGGGGTGTCTAAGTAAATAACCCTAGAGAGAGAGAGAGAGAGAGAGAGAGATTATGCACTAGTGAAAGACACCTAAGGAGCGTCTGCTTCGCTACAAACAAGTAACTTTTAAAAGCCAGAATGTTATTAAGTTTGGTTTATCCATCCATTAAACAGTTTTGATGAATACACTTAAGTAAATTAGACTAATTCAACCAAAGGAAAAAGTAAATTTGGCTAAGTAAAAAATAGAAAAAAAAACTTTGGATAATTTATATGATAAGTTATTTGACAATATATTATATGATAAAAAATATATTTTATATTATAAAAAATGTATATATAAATAGCACAAATTTTGAGGTCTTTTAATATAAATAAAAGAACTTTTTATTGAATAAAAAAGAGTTTTTTATTGAATAAAAAATAATTTTTTTATTTCAAATTTCTGATTGGGCTTGGGCCTTAACTTGGGCTTCGGGCTTTATACGAGGGTCAGGCTCGGGCCTAAATATATTATGTTAATATAGAAACAAAGCCCAGCCTGGCCCCTAAATAGGTCTAATAGCAAGAAATAATCTCGCTCCATGCCCACTCCAAGTGACTATTACTCCCTCAACCAGGCCCCTCATAAGGGCACAAAATTCCATGAATGACATACATGAGAACACCTAGCCTAAATTGAGTGTTAGAGGCTCCACCTTGGTGAAAGAATTTCAAGGTCTTGGGATCTCTAACACCTTTTCTATGATCATAGGTCACCAAAATCCCAAGGTTTCCTGATCTCCACCTTGTTGAAGATTTGAGCAACATCACCAAGTATGTTGGATTTTACCTTTTACGTTAACCCAACACTATTGAGTTGCACACCTAATTTAAGGTATTTTTGTTTTTCATCAATGAACTTTACTAATTAAATATACGTCCAATAATTTTAACAATTCAAAACTCATGTGATTAAAACTTTGAAAATGAAACCATTCTTTCATCTAGGTGGCGAGTCAAGTAAGCAATTCAACCATACGAGTTAAATGGGTCAACCCACAATGTTGTAACTAAATATTTAATTAATTTTAAAAGAAATGAAATATAAAAAGTACAAGAAAATACAAAAAATTGGGCACATCTCTAATAATATATATACACTCTTTTAAAGAAAAATAAGTATGATAAATAAGAATTGTTTTTGTTAATGATAGAAATGAAATACAAAATTTAAAACCACTCAAAAAATGAAATCATGCTCCTATTTAGGTGGTGGGTCAATTGTTCAACCTTATAAATTAAACCCATTATGTCATAATTAAATAAAAAAATTGAAAGGTAGAAATACAAAATAATTTATTAAAAATTATAAAAAATATAAAAAAATTAGGTACATCTTTAATATAAAAGAATCAGAAACATCCATTTTTCCATTTAAGGTGGTGTTCTATAAATTTAAAGTCTGAAGTCTAAAAAGCAAAAAAAAAAAAAAAACAGCCTCTGGAAAAGGGAAAAGCTCTAAAAGCATTCGGTGGAAATTTTACTTTTCAGCTTTTGCAAACATCTAAATATTATGGATTTTTTTGGTAATCTGAATACTTTGACATCTAAAAAGGTGTACTTAACAAATTTACCCCTCAAGTTATTATTTAAATAAAAGTAAAAAAATATTAAAGTAGAATGAAATTATAAAAAACAGTACAAATAAAAATAAAAATATGACAAAAAATCAATAAATAATATTAATAAAATTAAAATGATGTTAAAAATGATAAAATAGTAAAAGTTATTATAAATATAATAAAATGTATAAAAAGAAAATAATAATTGTAATAAAAAATTAAAATATATAAAAAGATCATTCAATAATAATAAAAATAATATAAAATATAATAGAGAGATTTGCAAATAGTAAAATAATGTAAAAAGATAAAATTGTAAAAAAAATTATAATATAATAGTAAAAAGCAGTGTTTTCAGACCGTCATTGATCTAGATGTCCAAACATTTGGCTTGGGAACCGTCGAGGAAAAATCTATCCTTGGACAAGATCCATTGATTAACCCAAATGGTCGAACTATTAAACCTATTTGACCTGTTCAATAGTTTTTTGCTGTTTTTATTTCAGTTATTATTATTTTTTTAATTTTTTATTTTTAAGTTGGAATAGGTCATCCGTTCAAACTGGACGGTCAAACCATTGACCCTAAAATCGATGGCCCCAAAAGTTCTAGTTTTGGGTCACTTTTAAAACCTTGATAACATATCATGAATATAATAAATAATAAAAATAATATAAAATAAATAGTGTAAAAAATATGGGGGTAGTTTTGGATAATCTAAAATAAATAATATTAAGATAGAGGATAGTTTTGAATTTTTCAAAAGTTTAAAAGGGCACCATTGGAATTCAATTTTCATGTGCTACCTCCGAATCCACTCGGAGGTAGCTTAGCGTTCAAACTATTCGAAGGGCTTTTCGGTGTTCGGAGGCTCAATTAAGAGGCACAACCGAACAACCACCAAACACTGAAAAGCAAAGTTCTCAATGTTCAATGGTTAATTTGGCATTACCAAACGCCACCTAAGTGGTGGGTGCAAGTGGAACTTGGATGGGCCCGACTTAGCATTTTACATTTTGGGCCTTTGGGCTGGGTCCATTCAAATTTTGATAAAAGTCCAACCTAAGCCCACCCAAGTTGCACAGTTGCACCCCTAATGGTGGGTGAGCAACCATTAGATGGGTTAACCAATAATGTCATAATTATAATAAAAATTAAAAATAGATAAAAATATAAAAATTGCAATTAAAGTTGTAGCAATTTTATAAAAAATTGATATATCTCCAATATTATAATTTATTATGTTAAAAAAATGCAAAAGCTAATGCTTCTGTTTTTGGTAAATTTTTAAAACTTCCCTTGAACTTTCTGACATAGTTGCAAGTAGGCCCCCCTCTTTTAGAATCAGCTAAGAAAAATCACAAAAAAAATCCAATATACCCATGCAGTTAAACTATATCAATAGAATGTATGAAAATTACTTTCTACTCTAGAAGATGTTGATGAATTGAGTGATCATGGTTTTAGTATTAATTTGATCTTTGAGTTTGGAAAAGGATTTCTGATGATATGGTTGATGATTAAAATATAATGTGACATGTCACCCTTAAATATATAAGAGCCACCAAATTTATATAGAGTAAAGCAACTTCCATCATATAGTGTAGGATTTTTCATTTGTGATAGGTAGAAGTTTCTTTTAAATCCAATAATGAGTATATCATCCAGCTGAGGGCTAATTTTAATGGGTTTCCATTTAAACCAAACATGGTCCAAGGGCCTTTCTAGTATATCAAATGATCTAAGAGTGAAACATCTCAGATCAACCTATCTATAATATATCGAATTACATGGTGGGTGACACATGTAAGCCCAAAAGGGCCTAACACATATGATTTGATGGATTATACGGTTAATGGCTTGGGCAAGTTGGGTTAGGCCAAGGCAGGATTGGATAGGGTTCCACCCATTTAGTTTTATTTTAAATGTATTATTTGTTGGTTGGAGAGTTAGAAGGATGGTTGAAGTTCAATCCAAACTTTCTCCACCTATATCCGCCCAATTACCACCCTTACTTTTTTTTTTGGGTAAATTTCTTAAACTATCCTTATGGTTTAGCGAATTGACTAAGTCTACCCTTATTATTTGATAGGTGCCAGCTTAGAATTGATGCCAATTCACGTGCAGGTATGGATGCATAAAGTGTGGTTTTTGGACGTTTTGAATGTTTATAGCTGTGCAGTGGGAATCAGATTTCTGCATTGAATGCATCCGTACTTCTCTGATTTCAATTTGGTTATGAGCAGTTTGGYGCTCTAGACCGTATAATGAACATCCTGGTTTCTTTAATTCGTTTTTATCTTAGTTCTAATGGTATAAAAATTATAGTGGTTACTTTTTATATATTTCTAATTAATTATTCTTCACAAGAATGGTTCAAAGTACCAAAGTGCTCAATACTAAAAAAATCATATATCACCTTATTATTTTCAAATATAATATTTGGGAATGGTATTTAAGCTTTGAACATGACCATCTCTAACATCTAGTATTTTACATGCTAGCTAGCAAGATCAAAGACCGTTATATATCATACAATACGTCTCAATAATTTGAAACATGTTCCCATTTTTATCTGTATCTTATGCATAACCAACAGTTTATTTTTTACAAAAAAAAACAGAAAAAAAAACAACAGTTTCTTACATAAAATTTACACACCTTATATATACCCATCAATATTGATTCTTTAATCATCAATTGCTTGTATAGAATTTGATTCCAGAATTTTGCAAACAGAACATCAATACATATAATTGAATCTGGAACATCCAAACGGATATAGAAGTTTTTTATTCATTACAACCATCTTAGCTTTGAGAAACCACAAGTTTATTATAAGGCAATGATATATCAAAATAAACATACAAAAACAATTAATATAAAGAACCTGATCTAAGACTAATGATCTAATGGATTCTTCACTTTTTGTTTTGAAAACCAAATCATGCGTATTGGCAAACAGCCCCTAAAGGGTCTCCCTTACTGTGGTAGTTTATTGAATTTGCGGTATCTGTACYCTTGATAGGTTTTGGTTGAATAATTTGGAGGGTTCAGATCATCCACTAGAGTAGGAAGAGGCCCAATTACAGCATCCAATGGTGGCACACAAAACACAGCCCATGACATGCGAACTTGGTCCTTGTTCACCACGCTCCTATGGAGAACGCTTTTGTATTTCCTATTGCTCAATACCTAGGATGCCAAACATACCACATTAATAACTTTCATATATAGTGAAAAGGGTCATTTACTTAGTTACCCCCTTGTTTCATGTTTTTATTAAAATCTATCCTTTTATTTTGTGTATTATTAAAACACCATCTATAGTTTGTAATGGCTTGACTTGATTAAACTTTTGTTAGGAACCATTTGAATTTCTATATAAAATGGTCATATGACCTCTTAAAACAAGTGGAAAATGTAAAAGGGTATGGATTTAAGGTTTTTATTTCAAAAATACCCCTGACAGGTCTCATATCATTTGTAGTTCACACCTTTCAACCAAGTTATTAGGGGTATTTTTGGAATAAAAAACCCAAGACCTATGCAATTAAAGAATTAATACCTTAAATATAAGACTTAATGAGATAGATTTACATGAGGAGAAAAGTAGTTTCTGAAATTACATTTCTATCATTACAATTAAAGAAAGCTCAAATTCTAAAATTGGGGTATTTTAGTCAAATAAAAGTTTCACACTTTTAATAGCAGTATAGATATAGATGAGGTTTTATATTTTTTTATTCATAAAAGTTGTTCATTTGGTTTATTGTCTCAATTAATGATTTTTTTTATTAAAATACAAATTTTCCCCATGATAGCTCAAGATCAAGAGGTAAATTCTGTCCAACGAAAATTCCAGAAAATAAGACCCATTCACACTTTTATAAGTAGTATAGATTTTTAGGTTGACCATTTTCTGGAAACACAAATGGCTCTAATTAAAGCAGTTGCAAATTAGGGGTGTCTAAGTAAATGACCCCAGAAAAAGAAAAAGAGAGAGAAATTATACACTAGTGAAAGACACCTAAGGAGTGTTTGTTTCGCTACAAACAAGTAACTTTTAAAACCTAAAATGTTATTAAGTTTGGTTTTCTATCCATTAAACAGTTTTGATGAGTATGCTTAAGTAAATTAGGCTAGTTCAACACAAGGAAAAAGTAAATTAGGTTAAGTGAAAAAAAAAAAACAAAAGAAAAAAAACTTACGATAATTTATATGATAAGTTGCTTTTTTTATCAGTAACTTATCATAGAGTTTCTGTCAAGCCAAACGCCACCTTACAATTAATCCAGTGGAACTGATTCTTTCAAACATCTTGTGATTATACTGAATGTTAAATGAGATGGTGTACAGAGTTTTACCTCAATCTGATCACCAACATGAATGAAGACAGCATTTGGTATATGACCAACTGCAACCCAATTCCCATCTTTCCACACTTGAAGGCCAGGGACATTGTTAGAGAAGAGTATGGTGAGAGCAGACATGTCTGTGTGGGGTTCCACCCCTAACGCCAATTCAGGCTGTGGGCATGGTGGATATAAGTTTATCTTCATTTCAATTTCCATCTCTTCACCACCCAAACTAGACCTCAGTGTCTTCTCTTCTAAACCAAGTCCCCGTGAAAGCAACTCTAGAAGCTTATCTGTTAGTTTCAACACTTCTTTTGTATACTCCTCTGTTACCTCCCTGCGTTAAATGAATTAACTGACATATTGAAATGCCGATATGGGTGTATGACAAAGATAACTGATCATATATAATTTACCGATTCCTACTGCTGATAATATTTTATAATGTTTTAAACTTTATTTGTAGTAATTGATAGAAAATAAGAGAGAAATATAAAGTTGGGAGAAAGTTCTTAAGGATTTTGTGAGATTTCTTAAGATCTTTCTCTTAACTTTTTGTTTCTTTGTTATTTTCTGTCAAACTAAACACAACCCTAATGTGTCAATCTCTAATTTGTCAGAGAAATAAGAGAACGAAAATTCCCTTTTGTCCAAGCAAATTACAAAAAACATCAAATTAATATTTTCAATGATAGAAAAGAAAGTTGAGTTAAATGATAAACCAAAGAACTACCAATGAGATGAAAATCTATGTTGTCTAAATATGTCCCAAGGGGAATTTGAGGTTTTCAAAATACTAGTAAGCGTACATGTGCACAAGTAATTCTAGATAATAATAATGATAGTAATAATGTATCAAAAATTTTCTATATATAATTTTTTACTTTTTTGCATATTTTTTTTTGTTTTTTGTTATTAATCAAATGCAGATTGCAAAATCCAAATCTGATTACATAAACATCTCATCCAAATATGCAATAATCAGATTGAGTTGTGAAATTTCAAATATCATTGACAGGCCTACTTGCTTGGCTACATTCTTCTTTTTGTAATGTTTTATCTTTTTAGTGTATCTTTTTTTTATTCATTTATCAAAAAAATACAAAATTTAGATAGAGGAAATTAAACGAGGTGAAAAGTAGTAGTTCAATTTACAATTTAAATCTCACAATTAAGTAAAGACTAAATTAAAAAATGAGTATTTTAGTCAAAAAATAATTATGACACTAAATTTTTTGTATAATTTAGTATTTTTATGTGTCCAATTTTTCTATAATTTTTTTGTATTTTTATGTGTAAAAATAATTATGATATGTTAAACTTACATTTTGTTTAATATGATAATTATATATGTGCCTGAATTTTTTTTGCAAAATTTATGTATTGTTTTCATTTCTTTATTTTTATATTTTTATATTTTATTAATTTTTATTATTTATTTATGACACTAAATGTTAAAACATTTGACCCAAAAGTTGAAATATTGACCTTTTCCAAATGGTAAAATAATTTCATTTTTTGTCAGTTCTAAATTATTTATTTTATTTTCATTATCAATAAAAATAATTCTTGTTTATTACACTTATTTTATAATTTGATTAATAAAAAATATCATAAATATGTAATTTTTCTACATAGGTTGATCAATTTGATTTAAATGGTTGAATGGCTTAGTCACCACTTAGATAAAGAATGGTTTTGTTTTTGAGTCAGTTTTAAAATATATGAATTTATATTGTTAAAAATATTGGCATAGATCTAATTAGTAGCATTTATTAATGAAAAATAACTTGAGTATAAGAATTAATGAGAGGGGGTTAAATGAGGTGGAAAATAATAATTGAAGTTACCCTTCTCACCGCTTCTTATTTTACCTGCACAATCTATTTTGCTGTTAGGTAACTAAGATGAGAATGAAAAATTAGGTAACAGGTTCTAGAATAAAACTTTTACATGATGAAACTGTAGCTTTTTTGTGGATTTAGAATATACATTTTCTGAAAGAAAGGCCAATATTTTTTATATATCGAGGGCATTTTGATAAGATACCCATTTCTGTGGAATGATTAATTCTATGTCTTCCATTAATCAGCAGCCCACCATAATTTCTTGATCAAATGAAATTACTAGTTTACCCTTGAGGAGGTATAATATAATTAATTTCACTGTCTATACGTAATACAATATATACCTGTAAGAAGGAGGGTTTTGGGGCCATGTTGCAGGGTTTTGCTTGGAAGGAGGCCAAACGACATGGAAGAAATAGTCTAACCACTCCACCTTCTGCTCATGGTTGCGAGTCATCTTCGTGCCGTAGCCCTCAAACTTGCCTGAAGAAGCATCGTTTGCGTATCTCTCCTTCTCTTCCTGTGGGAGCTGAAAGAATTGCTCCCCCACCTCCTGCAGCTGACGGATCAGCGAAGGCGAAATGCCATGGTCGGTGACAAGAAAGAACCCCCACTCGCTGCACGCCTTCGATATGTCATTCACCAGGGCGTCCATTGGTTGAGAGAGGGAGACCACCGGTACCGGTATTCCCTCGGTGGCCTTGCTGTTTTCCGGCCTCTCGTCGGCCGGCCGGACGAACTGTGGCGGCAGTTCCTTCAGACCTTGAAAGGCCAATGTTTGCACCCTCTCTACCTCCATTCTAGGATACTCGATCACCCCAAGTGAATGGAGAGACCTACTAATTTATAGATGCGTGAATGGTGATTCCTGGAGATTTTCGACCGATGGATTAATTGGATTTGATTATGGATGGATATTTACATTCCTTACATTTATGTGACCATCCCTTTTACCCTTTTTGTTCTTCTTTTTTATGCTTACTTATCCACGGAAGAATCATTAATTTACGCTTTCAAAAGTTGGTGTACCACAAATGTAAAGCATTAAAAGAACTTAATTAAAATTAATGGTAGTCTGGGACAACCTGACAGGTCTGAAAAAAACATTGATTGTGAGTTAGAGAAGTGGTTATCTGAATTATAGGCTTCTTTGATACCGTCCCAACAGCCTTTTACAACCTTCTATTGCTCACAGGAGATTCAATCTTCATGTGGACATGAATTGGATTGATTTTGAATCTAAAATTTTAGACCTTTATCGGGTTTGGTTTGATTTTTTGTCATGTCAATTTCGATTTGTACGTAGACTCAATCCGTTGAAAAGTGGCAATAGAACAAAGAGTTGCCTAATTACAACACAACTGGAAGGATTTTGATTTTATAAGCTGTGGCGCCAGCCTTGAAGAGCAGAAGCAGGTAATGCCATTTGAACAGTTGCAGTAACAGGATCTGTGTTAGAGAGATGGACAAAAAAGAGACACCATGCCCTTTCTCTTTATAACTTTATTTAGAGAATTTCAAAAATAAAATAAAACTATCTGATTTGAAAACAAATTCATTTCGGTTACAAAAATAAAACATGCTTTTGATTATACGTATTTTTTGTTTTTAAAATTGAAATTAAAAAATATGTTGTTTGATGTAGACACACATGGCAGGCCCAGGATAAGGATACGTGGTGCATGCTGGATCACATCTTGGCCATCGTAACAATATCGTCACTCCCTATGTAAGTTATCTTGGCATTTATTGCTCTAAGCTTTCTAGTGACCTCTCTGAGCTACTTTACTCAGGTCTTGTCCGATCCCTTGCTACCTTGATAGTCGGAGTCTCTGCCCCTAGGAAAACACTCGAGGCTCTAACGTTTTTCTTTGCATACAAGTTGGACCTTGAAGCCCTTGATTCTATCAGCCCTTGGACTCAGTCAGCCCCATCTCGAAAGTAAAATTACATTATTGTCCTCAGCCCATTCTTGACAATAACATTGTCCCATTTTGAATTTAAACAATATATTTTCATTTATTTATTTAGTATATGATGTTTTTATAAATCATACAATTTTTATATTATAAAATTTGTTTTGATGGTTTTAAGACCCCAGATCCAGTGCGTTTGGACTTGAAAGGGTATCATCAAATCCACTAAAAACCTGGCCAATACTTACAACCGGCTGATTCAGCTGAAGCTTTAATGCTAGCAATGACTGATAAAAATATTTTAGATAAAAAATTAATAAAAACCCTCATGTTTTAAATAACTAAAGAAAACTCCAAAATCCATCATGTTCTGAGTCTGAGACGCAAACCCTGCTCCCCCAACCATTAACGGCAACAATCCTTCATCAGCGGTGTGTTCAAACGACAATAGAACAGCATGCAACATCTACATGCACTATTGACATGGAAGAAAGACATTTTCTTTCACCAAGATTATATATTCTGATGAGAAGTAGAAGCAAATCTCCTACCTTCCAATTCCGTTTCTAATCTTGGAAACCCAAAATACAGAAGCTATAAACCAAGAACGATAAACAAATCTTAACTCTAACTCGTTTGGCAAATTGTCAACATCGACCAAACCATTGAACCCATCGATTTGTGTCCAAAAAATCCTTGTAACACCACTTTCACCCTATAATCTTTTTAAAGTAAAAATTCTTGAGAGCTTACCAAGAAAGAAAACCTTGTGTGGGACTGCTTAGATATATATTTTTCTCGGTAGAGTTATTGTTTTGGGTCTAAAACACTCATTACAGTCTTATAGATCCAAAGCCACAGTTACCCGAAGGCATTAATAGTTGGGAGAGCAAGATTTTAGTTGTGTTTGACTAAGAACGTGAGAGTTGTCTTGCAGATCCAAAGCCACAACCACGAGGAAGGCTGTCTTCGGAGAGAAGGATTTGAGGATGAGAACTAAAGGGTTTTGGAGTTTTCTCTTACCTTCTGTTTACAAAGGTTTTATTAAAAATATTTTTATCACTGGACTCGAAGAGAATGACGTGTCAAAGTTTTAATGGACTTGAAAAGAAAATTCCTTCGAGTCCAAATGCACTGGATCCAGAGCGTTTGGACTCAGAGGGACTTTTCTTCGAGTCAACTAAAATTTTGACACGTCAATCGGTGCTCAACTGGCCATTACCTGCAACCGGTTGAAGCTTTACGACTGATAAAATGTTTTTAAATAACAAATTGAGGAAGAGAGAGTGCTCATGGTCCAGTATGAGCTCTACTCCGACGTGTGAGTAACACAACGGCAACCGGTGAATCAACTCTGGCACGTGCTCGTTGAACAGTATACCTGAAACTTTTGGCACCTTGTCATGAACGTTCACCACCCTCAACATGTTCAGCCCCAACCTTTCCACCCACACCTTGAAGCTCACAATCCCGACTCTCCGTCACGTTTCTGCCCGTCTCTGCTATGCCATAGGCACTTGGCATCGCTAGCGCACTACCTAAGGCTGTGGCCAGTCATGTTTATGCTCATCAGTTCCTCATCTGGGTACTGATGCATCAGCCGCTTGACTTCCCTCAGGATCTGCTCCCAAGTCGAGTACTTGCAGAACTGACACGGAAATGTTATTGTACCATATACATACCGAGATATCGCTTGGTAGAATTGTCTGGACTGAAGAAGCCTAAGGCCAAGGCACCTCCTGTAGATGCTAAAATCTGGTTCTCGCTTATCATTTCCCTTGATTTAATCCTATCGTTGCTGGTGATTCAAGTTAGCAAAATCGATGAGGAAAATGAAACAATAATAGAACAGAGCACCCCATCAAAAGAGATCTTATCTGTTTTTTAGTTCTCTTTATTTCATTTTTCCATTTGSCTTGCCAGTACAGTTGTTATTGATTGGGGGAGCAACATCTGAGTTTGAGAGAAGAGAAGAGAACGTGAGGGCTTTAGATTTTTTGTCCAAATGAAGAAGAAGATTCGCATGGAAGAAGAAGAAAACAGCCTCGTGTCTTGGGTTTGTCTTGTAGATCCAAAACCACAATGGCAAGAAGACTTTATCTTCCCATTAATGGTTGGAGTTTTCTGAACAATGAATATAGGTTAATTCAAACGAAAAAAAATGTAAAATAGCACAAAAAACCAAAAAGAAATACTCAATAGATACAGAGGAAAAGACTTCCAAGCATTCATACAACATTACTATTTGCTGGAATTAAAAAGAAAATAAAAAATGATTTTGTCATCGGCATTCAAGAAGGAAAGATGAAAAACCCTAAACATAGATATCAGCTTTCCTTTTAATACTCTTGATGTTTGAAACTTTCCATTAACACCATTGCCATTGCCATTGCCGTTAAAATCCACAGTCGCCGTTCTGTTGTGGTTTGAACACCGTTGACGAAGGCTTGTTGCTGTTAATGATACGACCGGGGGAAAAATGTTAGAGTCTGAGAACGTGAGGGCTTTGGAAATTTCTGTTGGTATTAGCTTAAAAAGATATCAATTTTTTTATTTAAAATTATTTTTATCACTCATAAAGTTTCAGCCAGTTGTAACTAATGGTCAGTGAAACACTAATAACGAGTCAAAAATGAACTCAGAGAAAATCCCTTCAAATCCAAATGCAYTATATCCGGAGTGTGATTTTATTTCTTTGCTTAAAACCATGTACTACGTTTTGAAATAAAATTTAAAAGCAAAACCAATATGTTTTTGCTTAATTTTGGAAACAAAACCACAGTTTAAAAATGTGTTTGTGAGTTTTTTATTCTTTGCTGATCAGAAACATTGAGAACAAAAACATTAATGCTGTACCTATTAGGGCGAATTTGGGTCAAAATTTAAAAGTCAAATGATTTTGTAAATGCGAATTTGGGTTTGTGGATATGACGATGTTGGCAACAACATAAGTGTTTCGCACTACCCAAAAAAGCAGTTTGAAATTATGTGTTTTAAAACACGCCACATCACACCAAGCATTCTCTATTGTGGTTATTTAGTGGAATATAATTTATAAAGCTTTGAAATTTAGAATACATAAATTATTATTATTTCCAATCGTTATTTGATGATTATTTCGAGCATGGTTTTTAAAATTGACCCAGTGACTGAACCGGTTAGGGTTTCGGTTATCAGGTCGAACGGTCCAAAATTGAACGTTCGGCCCGTTTTAATAAAAGAATAGAAAAGGTTAAAACCGTTTCAACAGTTTGAACGATTAATCGCCCGATTCAGTGGTTTATTGACCAAAATCAACGATTTTGGGAAGAAATCCGATTTTTGGGGAACGGAACCAGTTCCTGATTCCCGGTCGAGTTTTTTCAAAAAGAAAAAAGAAAAAAGAGTATTTAAAAGTGTGGTAAGTTTTGAAATACGAGATTTTAATATGATGAAAATATTGTGATATATTCAGTTCTATTATCTCAGTTGAGTCTTTTAGGTTAGCTTGTTTTATCTCATGCAATGGAAGAGAATCAATGTCCACTTATTAGAGTACCTACTAAATTCCGGTTGTTTTGTGGAGATACGTGATCACAAAGACCCGTTTAAGAGATTTAGTCCATATTTCTGATGTGTCCTGTAAATCTGAGGACTAATTTGTGTTTCAATTTTTTTTTTTTTTTTTTTGATTTTCTTCAATAGTTGTGTAGAATATATTCTGGAGATATTGATTTTGATGATCTTTTGTAGCATTTTACTTTGTCTAGCAGGCTAATAATCTGATTTTTAATATATTACATTCCTTGGAAAGAGAGATTACTCATAGAACATGTCAACCATCAAAAAAAACCTAAATGAACTGTGGCAAACTAATTGTCGAAGTGAAATACTCTTTATTTGTTGTGGTCATCAGTCATCACTTGTTAAACTTGTAATGTCGGTATTCCTTGTATGTTTTGGTGGCGCATTTGGGTGGATTATCATCCTTCATAAGTGATGAAAGGGGCCCAATTGTGGCATCCAGTGGTGGTGCTGAAAAAACGCTCCATGACATGCGTGTCCTTTCTTTGTTCACCACACTCCTATGCAGAATGCTTTTATATTCTCCATTGCTCAGTATCTATAAATACAGTAGTAGAAAAGACGTATCAGCCAAACATCGTAGTAGTCATTTCTGTGCCTTGAGTGCATCTATCATTGCTTTCAGGTCCCAATAACTCATGGGCTTTTCATTTTGCATCTCCTTAATGAGTACCCTATACTTGGTCGAGTGAAAATTTGATCTCCAAATTTTAAAATACGACAATTCAGTACCTAAATTTTTAAAATGTGACAATTTAGTACCTATATTTTTAAAATGTGGCAATCTAGTATCTGCCGTTAACTAGTTCATTAATCAACCATTCAATGACATTTGAAAAGTCAAAAATGCTATTCGAATGACAACTAATTTTCTTTATGAACCATCCAAACATTGACAAAAAATTCAACAGTCTCAAATCTTAACCTCTTCTATTCAAAAAAGTTGGTGACTGTTTAGAAGAATTTAGAATTTGAGACTGTTCATTTTATTGTCAATGCTTCGATGCTTGATAAAGAGAATTAGATTGCATTATTAGGGTATTTTTGACTTTTCAAATGTCACTTGACAACTGATTAACGACAAATACTGGATTGTCACATTATGAAAATTTGAGTACTGGATTATTGCATTTTAAAGTTTGAGGGCCAAATTGGCCCTCGATCCAAAGTACAGATACTGATCGAGAATTTTCCCTAATTACAAAGAAAAAAGTCTATTTATCAGTGGTTCCATTCATCCAAATGGGTCAATTTTTAACCCATAAGCCCACAATACTTATGACCCATTTGATCTCCAACAATACTTGCAAGAGTAGGATTAGCATTCGAATTTAATGATGAGAACATTAAGCAAAGAAGTGGCAAAAGGGGAAATCAAGAATTCAACCTCGATCTGATCGCCTACATTGACGATAAGAGCATCGGGTATATACTCGATTGCGACCCAGTGACCATCTTTCCACACTTGAAGACCTGGAACCTCGTTAGAGACAAGAATGGTGAGAGCACCCACATCTGTACGGGGTTCCAGTCCTAAGGTCAGTTCAGGCTGTGGGCACGGTGGGTACAAATTTATCTTAATTCGAAACTCTATGTCTTCACCACCCAACATAGACTTCAGTGTCTCCCTTTTCAAACCTAGCCCTTGGGAAAGCAACTCTAGAAGCTTATCAGTTAGTTTCAAAACTTCTTTTGTGTATTCTTCAGTCACCTCTCTGCATTATTTAATGTAACATAAATAACATTCTGCAGAAGGATATTTTCAAGCAAAATATGTTCCTATGATCTTAAAAATTTTGTATATATTCGTCAGCAAGAAAATAAAGTCGCATTTGACTACAAATTTACACTGGTGTAAATGCATGGGAGTGCAAATAGACTGAGTGCATGTAAATTCTGATTTCCTTCTGCTTCAGATTTGATCTTGTCTTGTTTGTTGTAAAGTGGTGTGGTATATATGCAAGAGAATGGAGATAGTTGGAAGGCCATGTAAATGTAAAATTTACACTGCTAGTGAGTGAAAATGAGACAAAAAGTAGACTTTGTATCAAGTAGGAGTGCAAATCATGGTTACAAATAAGCATATACAAAGTGTATGTTGCATAAAACCCAAAAAACACAAATTCAAATTTCACAAAAATAAAATAAAATAAAACAAAAATACAGAGAAGAAAGAGAACAAAGTACATATAAATTTACGTGGTTCAACTTATAGCCTACATCCACTAGCAAAAGAGGAGTAAAAATCTACTATAAAAATAACAATAATGATTTCAAAATTTATACACAACAGTGAAAAATTGGTATATCTGCAGGTTTAAATTTACATTGCAACCAAACACAACCTAAGGCTGTGTTTGATTTGGTTGCAATGCAAATAAATTTACGCTGATGCAAAACTATGAGAGTGCAAATGATTTGGTTGAAAATTCTGATTTATTTTTGTTTTAAATTTTACCTTACTTTATTTGATTGCAGTAGAAATGAAGTAAAATAAGACCTGAATCAGAATGAAGTAAAACCCAAACACAAATTAAACCAGAACTAGTATTCTTTTCATTTGCACTCTTATGCATTTGTACTAGTACAAATAAAATTGCACTGCAACCAAAGACAGCCTAAAGACCAGAATATCAAACGCCCCTTAAATAATTATTGAGGATTCACTAAGAAAAGTTGAAACAAAACAATTAAATGTACATACTACTATTATTAGATGTTGAGTTGAAAACAAATTAGAAAAGCTCAAAAACAAGCCTTCTCTTTAAGAAGGCCTGGTCATTGATATTCCAGCTGAGAAAGATGGACAAATACATGCTTTTGATGTCATTTAATGAATGTACTGACCTGTCAGAAGGAGGCTTTGAAGGCCATGTTGCAAAGTTGAGCTTAGAAGGAGGCCATATGAGATGGAAAAAGTAGTCTATCCAGTCAGAACTCCGATCACTTTTACCCCCAATTATCTGCGATCCATAACCTTCAACCTTACCTGAAGAAGGATTATTTGCATATCCCTCTTTCTCTTCTTGTGGGAGCTCAAAAAACTCCTTACCAACATCTTGGAGATGATGAATCAGTGAAGGAGAGATGCCATGGTCAGTGAGAAGAAAGAATCCCCACTCTCTACATACCCTTGAGATCTCATTCATTAAGACTTCGGCTGGTTGCAAGAGAGAGACTATTGGTACTGATATACCTTCAATGGCTTTGCTGTTTTCCGGTCTCTCATTCGCCGGACGGATGAACCTCGCCAGCAGCTCCCTGAGACCTCCACCAGATACCAAGGTTTGCACTCTCCCTACCTCCATCTCCATTCTTGTGCCAATGAAAGGAGCAGCTAGCTATTGCTTAGAAATGAATTCGAATTTTAGGGTTGAACGATTAGGTTACCAACCAAAACGTGATTAGAATGACTGTCACCTACCCAGTTGGTTAAACGAATGACTGTCACCTAGACAAAAATGGTTCCATTTCTGTATCATTGTTTGTTTATAACATCATAAATAAATAGATAACAATTAAAAATAAGAAAATTTTGTAAGAACATATCAATCAAACAGCTTAAATTGTTCAACGGTTCAACCATAGTTTTGACCAAAATAATAGGGTTTTGATATATTGTAGACAGTTCATATATGGAAACTGCCGAACTAGAAAGGATAGATCAGTTCATATATGGGAACTGCCGAACTAGAAAGGGTAGATCTCCATTCAGTTGAACCCGGCCTGGTTTGCCCTTGATAATGATATTCAGGGTAAATTGCAGAAACCTCCTGATGGAGGGTGATTTGGCCCGACCTCATCATAAGAGGACCACATGGACGTGACTCGGCATAAGTGACAACTCAACACGATCAGTTCGCCAAGATCCAGCGTGGCAGCTCGCAACTAGAAAGCGCCCGAGCTAAGATTCTCCCAAGTAGAGAGCGCCCAAGCTAAGATTCTCCTAGGATGGGAATCTCCCAAGTTCAAGGCACTTCGGGTTGAGCTCGGCAGCCTCCTAAGGATAAACTCGCCTGACCAAACTCAAGTAGGCCACCTCGGGTAGAAGCACCTTGGCACAGGGTAGCTCTATACAAGGTAGCTCAGGGTAGAGCAACTTGACATATCACAGGAAGATCTCCTGCCTGACAACCGTACCTGCCAAATCTGGAGACTACGCCCACGTCTCTCGCCACGCGGCGTTGTGCCTGCCAACCTTGAGAGGTGTCCCTTGTCTGGTAGGGCCGTACTCTGCAACGGTTACCCACGCCCACCAGCTCAGCCCTAGCAAGTAACGGCTGCGGTAGAGAATTAGAGGCGGTTATACCAGATTTGTCAGGAAATCAGTATATAAGAGCTCCGACCCCCAAGAGCAAAGGTAACTTGTGTCTCTAGCCCTTTCATTCTTGCTCTGCTCTGCAACTCTCTTCCTGCTACTAACTTAAGCATCGGAGTATTCCTGCCAGGAGAGCTCCCCGGGGATCCTTCTTTTTCTTCACAGTTATCTCGTCCGTCGCCAGGTAGGAGCGCAACCACTGCCAGCTAGGAGTGACTAGGTCGCACACCATCAATTAGCGCCACCTGTGGGAAATGCTTCAAAAAGCCTCCTTCCACCAAACTTAGCAACTTCAGTTTCCATGGCTTCGTCCAGCAACGCCAGACGGAGCGCTGAAATGAATGTCGTCGGGGAGCAACTTCAGGTCCCAACATTATGTTTTGGACAGTTCACCGTCCCCCTCTCTGCAGATGGAGTTCGTACTCTAAACGTGCCTCAGATAATGACACCTGTGAGCGCTCCACTCCCCTCCATGGTATGAGCAATTTTCGCTGAACACTTCTTTGTTCCTCCGGTGATAGGCCAAAACCAGCTTAAAGATCTAGTGCACTGCATGCGAGCTATGTAGGCTCAAATGCAACAGTTTCAACAGTTTCAGTTGTATTAGTAGCAAGTGTTGCACCAAGTCTATCAGCACCAGTACCAGCAGCAGTTTCCATCACTGCCCCAGAACCAGCAACAAGTTCCTCCTCGATACCCCACTGCGCAGCAGGCCAAGCCCCATCGTCGCAACGAGCAACCTCCTTGCCGAGGAGAGACCTTCTAGACTCAGAACCCCCTTAGGAGTCAGGCCTCATCCCGCGACAAGAAGGATAGGCAAGCCACTCCCCCCACCTCGCAACATGTAGTCAGGTCGGGGGACACTCATCCATCCAGGCCCGCATTACATCGGCCTTCACAGTTCAAGATCCCGCTCGTAAAGAACCAATTCGAGGTCCTGGCTGCGGATTATAGACAAGACCCTTCAGTCCACAGCCATCAACAGCAATCTGAGCCCCTCCCTGGGCTTACTGTCCCTGACAACACAGAGGCCAGTAGCACCAATGCAGAGCCAACAAAGAAGCAGCAGAGACGCCGCAGAGCTCACCGAGCTACAGCCCAGCGCCTACCCGAACTCCCCAAAGAAGAGGCGATCTCGAGAGCAGTGAAGGCCACTCCGCTCCTCTCTGTACCATCTCCTCTAGCTCCCGAACTCTTGGCCGTCCCAATGCCCAAAGACTTCAAGGTACCTCTCCTGGACAAGTATGATGGATCATTCGACCCGAATGATCACGTAGATGTCTTTCAATCATAGATGCACTTAGCCGGGGCAAGTGAGTCATGCATGTGCATAGCCTTCTCCACCACATTCAAAGGAGTAGCTCGCACATGGTATATGAACCTCGCGCTTGGAATGATCAAGAGTTGGGTGCAGTTTGTGCAGATTTTCACTTCGCACTTTGTCTCCAGCAAGAGATGCCTGAGGACCCAAGAAAGCCTCCTCGGCATAGTCCAGAGGGAAGGGAAGTCCATCCGCAGGTACATCAAGAGATTCAATGATGCATGTCTGCAGATACCTGACTTGGACCCTGTGATGAGGCTCACAGCAACTAAGAGAGGCATAACGTACAAGGACTTCAAGTGGCATGTGGTTGTCAACCGACCTAAGGATGTAACTGAATTCCTCAAGCTCGTGGACCAGTTCATCGAAACGGAGGAAGAGATGAACCAGAAGAGCGAGAATCCGCCTAAAAAGAGGAAAAGAGAAGGTGAGTCCACAACCCACGGGGACAGCAAGAAGAAGAAAGAACCATCTTGGGGAGGAAGGCCAGACCAGTCTTTTCGAGCTCCTCCAACCAAAAGGCCAAACTACACGCCATTGAACGCGAAGCGAGCTGAGATCCTCATGGCAATCAATGACGTGTCGTACGTGAAGTGGCCACCTCGGCTGAGAGGAAACCCGAATGTTAGAAATAAGAACTTGTATTGTCATTTTCATAAAGATCACGATCATAGTACTGAAAGTTGTAAAAACCTCCACGATGAGATAGAAGAACTCATCCGTCGCGGGTACTTAAGAAATTTTGTACAAAATAATAATAAAACAGGGCTGCAGGGGGAGCAAGGTAGAGATGCTACTGAGTCCAGCAATAGGCAAGGTGACCAACTGTAAAGGCAGCCACCCGAAGAAAGGCCAGTTCGGGGAATGATCCAAATGATCACCGGCGGATCAATCGTCGCGGGCTGCACCTCGGCCGCAGCAAGGATCTCGGCTCGTGAGATCGAAAGAGAAGAGCGGAATCCCCCGAAGTGGCCAAAAACAAAGGAACCAATCTTCTTCACCAAGGATGATGCATGCGGAATCCAGTACCCCCACAATGACGCGCTCGTTGTAAAGATAAGAATCAATGATTTCAAGGTGAAGCATGTCCTCGTCGACTCCGGCAGTTCGGCAGACATACTCTTCAAGCCCGCTTTCGACAAGCTTCAACTTCAGGAGAGCGATCTCAAGCTCATGAACACTCCCTTGGTGGGCTTCAACGGAGAGGAAGTCAAGCCCCTGGGGAGAGTCCTCGTATCAGTGGAGGTCGGAACCTGGCCTAGCATAGTGAGGCTCGAGCACAACTTTTTGGTGGTCGCAACTCCCTCCCCGTACAACGCCATAATAGGTCGGCCCATCACCCATGCTTTACAAGCAGTGGTCTCCACCTATTATTTGGCCATGAAGTTCCCCATGGACTTCGGAGTTCGGGTAGCGCAAGGCGATCAGCTCGAGTCTCGCAAGTGTTATGTTGCTGCCCTCAAAGGGAAAACCAAGGTGGCAAACGACCTCGGGCTGGAGCGACCTACGGAGCAATGTGAAGAGTAAGTTGCACCTATAGAAGAGACGGCTTCCGTGCCTGCTTCAATAGAGGACCCAGCTCGGATCCTCCAGATCAGCACTTCAATCGAGGAGCCTCTACGATCTCAATTGGTAAGCTTTCTACTTAAAAAATGTAGATGTTTTTGCATGATTTGCGGCAGAGATGCCCGACATAGACCCCGAAGTCATCACTCACAAACTGAACACTGATCCTGTAGTTAGGCCCATTAGACAAAAGAAACGCAACTAGCCCCGGAGCGTTGGAGAGCAGTTGACGAGGAGGTCGGGAAGCTCCTCGCAACCAATTTTATCAGGGAAGTCCATTACCCGAGTTGGGTAGCCAACCCCGTTTTGGTAAAAAAGGCTAACAGTAAATGACGCATGTGCTTCGATTATACTGACCTGAACCGAGCTTGCCCGAAAGACTGCTTCCCACTCCCCAAGATCGACCGTTTGGTGGACCCGACCTCAGGGCATGAGTTGCTAAGCTTCTTGGACGCCTATTCGGGCTACAACCAGATCAGAATGGTCCCTGCTGATGAAGAAAAAATGGCCTTCATAACCGAGCTCGACCTGTACTGCTACAAGGTCATGCCCTTTGGACTGAAAAATGTCGGGGCAACATTTCAGAGACTTGCAAATCGACTATTTGAGTCGTTGATCGAAAAAAAAGAAGAGTGTTATGTAGACGACATGGTCGCCAAAACCTAATTTTCAAGCAATTTAATAAAAGATTTGCACTCTGTTTTTGAAATTTTGCGCAAGTTTAATATGAAGTTAAACCCGAACAAGTGCATTTTCGGTGTCACCTCGGGTAAATTCCTAGGTTACATAGTTAACCGAATTGGTATTGAGGCCAACCCTGATAAAATTAAGGCCATCTTAGATATGAGACCACCCCGGAAATTGAAGGAGGTTCTGAGGTTGAATGGTCGAACAGCCGCTCTGAGTCGCTTCATGTCTAAATCGGTTGATCGCTGCCTGCCTTTCTTTAAGGCAATTAAGAGAAGCAAAGACTTCAAATGGACCGAAGAGGGAGACATTTTGGAGCTATACTTCTCCGTGAGTGACGACGTAATTAGCTCGGTACTGACAAAAGTAGTAGATCGGGTCCAATGACCCATCTACTATGTTAGCAAAGTGTTGCAGGAAGT